CCCCGCCCCGCGGCGCGGCGTGCCCGGGAGCCTGCGCGGTGCTGTCTGCAGAGGCGACCCAGGATACGCGGCCCGGTGGGGGCGCGCGGTGGGGCGTGCCTCCTTCTGGGTTTCAGACCTTCGTGCGTTCAAGAAGCGGCCGCCTAGCTGGTGTGGTGCCCGGGTCCTGGAGGGCCACTGCCAGGCCGCTCCCGAGGACAGGCGCCGAGCATCCGCCGAGGAGCGCAGCTCGAGGGGAGGACTGGGAAGAACTTCCTCTTGCTTCCCTCCATCCTGGCGCCCTGGGCAATCCGGGAAGACTCCCAGGAGGAGGTGATGCCTCACCCAACTATGCAGATTAGTTCAAAATGCGGTCGGGACGGGAGCGAGCGGGGCGCTGAGGGTGCAGAATCGGCGGGACGCGGGCCTGAAGGGCTAAGACTCGGCTCTTCCAGGCCGCCTCGCGGTTGCTCGTTAGAAAGCAGAGTCGCGCACAGCTGTTGGCGGAGCCTGCGTTTGGAAGGTCCCTCACGTGTCCAGGAGGCCCGAGCCACCTGTGGGAGAACTCCGAGTGTTTTGTGTGGTTCACGCTAGTCTTGGGCGTGCCAGCCCCGCCACTTCCTGCAGCGCGCCTGCAGCTTGACGGAGGGGCCAAGGGTCGGGGCCTCTTCAGCCCCGGGTCGCAGCAGACGGACATCTCGCAGGTCTGCCCCAGGAAGCCGGTCGTAACGGCGGGCGCCCCCTACAGCCTCGCGGGTGCAGTACCACAACGCCCTGGTCACCGTACAGCTCTCCAGGTTCCGCAATGAAGGGAGCCGTCACGGCTGCGGTAACCCCGGACGCGTGGCCTCTGAGCGCTGGAAATGTGGCTGGTGCGCCGGGGTTGGATTTCTAACTGCACTTAAATTTAAGTAGCCAGGGAGGTCCCGCAAACCAAAACCAGAACCAAACTCACTGCCATCAAGGCCATCCCAACACCCTGCAGGCCAGAGCGGAAGGGCCCCGTAGGGTTTCCCGGCTGTAGGACGCGGACTGCTTCACCTCTCTCCGTGGAGCGGCTGATGGGCTTGAAACGCCTGCGTGGTGGTTAGCAGCCCCACGCCTTGCCCACCGCCTCACCAGAGCACCTCTCATGGGTGCCCAGTGGCTACAGTACCCACAGACGCAACCGCTTTATCCTCTTCACCTGTGGCCAAGGGCTTTATGGTTCTCTTGGTAATTAATTTGTAAATTTGCTTCTGCTTCCTGCTTATATAAGAGCAACAAGCACAGAGTTTATACCTTGTTTTATATTTGTGTATAAAAGCCAAATCAAACCACTGCCGTGGAGTCCATTCTGACCTACAGCGCCCCTAGAGGACACCGTGGAACTGCCCCACAGGGTCCCCAAGGCTGTAGACCCTGTGCCTTATGAGCGCCTGTATTTGCCCACAGCTAAGTGATATAATAAATATCTAAGTCTTCACCAGAGGCCCTGCTAGGATTCTTTTTTCCTTTAAAAGTAGAACAGTTATGTAACAACAACAACAACAACAACAAAAAGAACAGGTCTCTAGTCTAAGGAAACACTTCTAGAGGTTCTGGGCGCCCTCCTCTCCCATCAGCTTCCCCATGGTCCCTAGGGCACATTTCCTGCCAAAGGGGCGGGCATATGGCGGCCTCTGCAGAAGGCCTCCTGAGGAGTGTGAGGAGTGGGCGGTATACAGACATTGACCCTGCCCTCAGGGCGGGGCTGGCAGCACCTAGCCCACTGCCTTCGGCCCTCAGCCCCCGGCAGGCTGCCTTCTGCCAGCTTGCGTGCTCCTCTCCAGCCATGCATCAAATATTTAGTGGGGCCTGCTGCGTGCCTGGCATTGTGCCAGCACAGGCTATGGGCGGACGCGTAACCAGGACCCCTTCCCGCAAGGACCCAAGGTTCTGGAACAGAAGACAGCTGTCTCCTGGGAGGACCTTGTAAGTGCTGGGGGGAGTCCTCGGTGCTTGGTGGATGCTGCTGGGAGTACCTTGTCCAGCGTGGGACCTGCAGATAGAATGAGTCAGCCCTGCGGAGAACGGGGACAGAGCCAGAGGGACAGAAAGGAGTCCACTGGGCGGGAACAGAGGGAGCTGGGCAAGAAGGAAGTAGGGTGACATCCGGCCGGGCCGGAGGCCAGGGTTGGACTGCCTTCGATTCCGACCTGAGTGGGAGCCATGGGAAGGTTCCGGCAGGACAGCCACAGGATTGGCTTCTCTCTGAGTTGATTCGATGGGGTGTGGGTGGCATCAGGTGCCCCACAGCACCCACTGGGTTTCCAAGGCTGTAAATCTTTACAGAAGCAGACTGCCTCATTGTCCTTGGAGCAGCAGCTGGTGGGTTCAAACCACCGACCTTTTGGTTAGCGGCCAAATGCCTTAACCACTACACCACTCTTTATGTCCGCTGTCTAGTGCTGTTGTAACGGATCTGTCACACGTGGATGGCTTTAGCGAATGTAACTGTACTGTCTCACAGTCTAGGAGGCTGGAAGTCTGAATTCAGGGCACCGGCCCCAGAGGAAGGCTGTCTGTCAGCTCTGGGGGAGGGTCTTGGTTTCCTTTCAACATCTGGGGGCCCGGCTCCCTGGGAGACCTCATGTGTCTCCATCAATCTCCCCTGGACCTAGGAGGTTCTCAGTGCAGGGACCCGGCTCTGAAGGACACACTCCGCTCCTGGCTTTTCTTTCTCAGTGGCAGGGGGTCCCTCTCTTCTGCTCAATTGTTTAATCTCTTTTATATCTCAGAAGAGATGGACTCAAGATATGACCTAATCCTGGGACTGTGTCCTGCCTCATTAACATCACTGCCAATAATCCTGCCTCATAAGCATCTTAGAGGTGAGGGTTTACCACATGTGGGATAATTACATCAGGTCAAAACATGGAAGATAATTGCTTAATACTGAGACTCATAGCCTGGCCAAGTTGATCCATATTTTGGGGGGACACAATTCAATCCATCACAGAGGGCATACAGAGGCCAGCCAGGTAGGGAAGGCAGGTCTTTGCATGCCCAGCTGGTTTGGCTTGGAAACTTCCCTTGTGTACTGGGGAAACAGTGCCCCCCCCAAACCCATGTTCACCCGGAACCTCAGGATACAACCTTATCTGGAAAGAGCATCTTTGCAGATGTCGTTGTTCAATGAATGTGACTCCATGGTGGAGTAGGATGTGCCCTGATCCAGTGACTAGTGTCTTTATGAAAACAGGGAAATTTGGGCACGGGACAGGCAGGAAAGTTCGCCATGTGGCAACAGAGGCAGGGAATGCCTGGAGCCACCAGAAGCTGAGAGAGGTGAACGGGGTTCAGTAAGTGTCCCCCAAATTAACATTCATGTGGGACCTCAGAATGTGGCTTTATTTGGAAACAGGGTCTTTGCAGAAATGATTAAGATGAGGGCACACCTGTGCGGGGTGGGCCCTAGACCTGGGGTTGTTGTTGTTGTTGTTATGTGCCGTTGAGTTGGACCAGACTCATAGCGACCCCTCCTTGGGTTTCCGAGGCAGTATCACTACAGAAGTAGATTGCCCAGCCTTCCTTCTGAGGTGTGTCTGGTGGGTTTGAATGGAGTGGTGTTCTTGTAAGAAAGCGAGAGATGCAGACAGAGGGTCACCCAGAGAGGAGAGGACATGCAACCACAGAGGCAGAGATGGGAGAGATGCCCCCACAAGCCAAGGGGTGCCACCGATGGCCAGCAACACCCAGAAGAGGAGGAGACCAGGAAGGCTCCTTCCTCGAAGCCACCAGAACTGAAGACTCCTACTGACCCCGGGATTTCGGACTCCTGGTCTCCAGAACCGTGAGAAGATAAATTTATGTTGTTTTAAGGCACCCAGTTTGTGATAATCCAGACTGCAGGCTGCGGTCTCTGATCTCCGTCAGTAAGTGCTTTAAGTCCTCTTCACATTCAGCAAGCAAGGTTGCATCATCTGCATATCACAGGTTGTTAATGAGTCTTCTTCCAATCCCGATGCCACATTCCTCTTCGTATAATCCAGTTTTTCAGATTATTTGCTCAGCATACAGATTGAGTAAGTGTGGTGAAAGGATACAACTCTGAGGCACACCTTTCTTGATTTTAAACCATGCAGTGTCCACTTGTTCTGTTTGAACGACAGCCTCCTGGTCTACATACAGATTCCTAATGAGCACAATTAAGTGTTCTGGAATTTCCATTCTTCTCAATGTTATCCATGACTTGTTATGATCAACTCAGTCAGATGCCTTTGCATACCCAATAAGTAAACATTTTTCTGGTATTCTTTGCTTTCCGCCAAGATCCATCTGACGTCAGCAATGATATCTCTCATTCCACGTCCTCTTCTGAATGTGGCTCGAATTTCTGGCAGCTCCCTGTCAATGTACTTCTGCAACCCTCTTTCGAATTATCTTTAGCATAATTTAACTTGTGTGTGATATTGATGATGTTGTTGTTGTTGTTACGTGCCATCAAGTTAGACCCGACTCATAGCGACCCCTCCTTGGGTTTCCAAGGTGGTATCATTATGGAAGTATATTGCCCAGTCTTCCTTCTGAGCAGTGGCTGGTGGGTTTGAACTGCCAGCCTTCTGGTTAGCAGTCAAATGCCTATTGTTTGATAATTTCCACATTCTATTAGATCACTTTTCCGTTATAGTCACCTTTCTTTGGAATGGACATGAATAGGGATCTCTTCCAGTTGGT